ACTGCCTGGGACCTGTAACATATATATATATATATATATATATATATAAGTATAATGCATATCTTTCTCTGTCTCACTAGCCGTCTGGTCTAAGTGGCCCTCATCGTTCAGGTCAAGGTCAGCGCGGGAAGGAGCCGCAGAAGATCATGGCGAGTGTTTCCCTCACTGAAGATGTCCAGCTGAATAAAGCAGAGAAGGTCTGGAAACCATCAGTGAAGCGCAGCGGCCGTGCCGACGAGGACGAGCCCGAGTTCTTGAAGACGCAGGAGCTGTTCAAACACATGGAGAGCGTGTTGAATCAACTGACGCCGCAGATGTTCCAGCCGCTGATGAAGCAGGTGAGGGAACTGACCATCAACACCGAGGAGCGCCTGAAAGGAGTGGTCCACCTCATCTATGAGAAGGCCATCTCTGAGCCCAACTTCTCTGAAGCCTACGCCAACATGTGCCGCTGCCTCATGGGGGTGAGTGTGAGCCGAACGCTGTGATCGCAAAAGCAGCTCCTGCAGCGTCTAGTCTGTGTTTTATCTTCTGTCTCTCATCGCAGCTGAAAGTTCCCACCACGGAGAAACCTGGAATGACGATAAATTTCAGGAAGCTGCTGCTGAATCTTTGTCAGATAGAGTTTGAGAAGAACAAAGATGATGATGAAACATTTGAGAAGCAGAAGAAGCTGGATGCCGCCACAGGGGTATGAACAACACACACACACTTGAGCGGACTGATATGTAGGGGTTGTGGCAGGGCAGTCTTTTTACAATTTTTCTGATTTAAAATGTATTTAAATTTTATTTAAAAAAAATAAAATCAACTTCGAGGTTTGCTGTGCTTGTTTGTTGGGCTGCACAATTTAGCCAACTATTTTGCGATTATATATATCAATAACAACTGTTGTTATTACTTAATAATACAAGAAATATTACTAATGTAACATTTCACTGTAATATTACAAAAAATAAGAAAAATTTAAGAATTTAAAGGGAAAATGTAATAATAATAATTATTATATATATTTTTTATTATTATTATTTTATTTTTTTATTCATATTTTTTTAAAGGTCCAGGTTTTCTGTGCTTGTTTAGGCATTTT